CACACACACACACACACACACTTAAACTCAGCTTTTCTACAATGAACACTATGGTTACCATGGTACATTTTCAGAATGATTAGTAATATCAGTGCAGCACACAGACTCCTCACACAATCCCATAATCCTCTCTGATCACAGCAGGAAGCAGATCGATCATCATCTGAAGGCCTTTGATTGACTAGATGTGTGTTTGATGTGATGTGAAGGGAAACACTCCCATCTAGTGGCCAAACACACTCACTGCGCCACAGCGGCATCAGACTTCACATCAAATAAACAGATCTGCAGAGTAAAAACAATGTTCACCTCTGTATAACATTTTTCCATTACTATTATCAGTTAAAAAAATGAGTTATAAAAATGTGTTAGATGAGCATGCTTATTTATCGACAAACAAATATACAGTGATTTTTTTAAATAATATTTTTCATTGTTTATTTGTTTTATGATTGTATTTATTTTATGGGTTTATTAAACAAAAAAGGTAACTCTTTACTTGAAGTCTTCATATATAATGCATTATAAAAGTATTGTAATGCATTAATTATGGCTTTATAATGCATTCTATGATCTCACAATTAATTATCACCATAGTTATAATACATTATACTTCTTATCTATTCCTTGTTTTGCCTTTAAAAAGTATAATTCAGTAAAACACATGAAAACAACTTCATATGTAACAGAACCTGCAAATATTGTAATGCATTTTAATGACAAAAAAGATATATTGCATTATAACATACATTATGAAATGCTTTATAATGAATTAAATACGTCAAGTAAAATGTTACCAAAATATTTTTCAAAGTTGCAAGTAAAACAATTATTGGATTTTGCATTCTACTTCAAAACTTCACCTTTAATTTCAATGTGCAGTTAGTTGTGAAATGTCAAAGTAAATCCTACATTTGTCCCAGTGTTCTGGTGGACTCGTACGAGATCAGCAGTGTGTTTCTGCTCGATCACTGAATCTCAGCAGGACCACGAGTCTGTTTATGTGATGATAACAGCGTTTATTATGACTGAGCCGAGGTCTTCATCTGAAGCGTGTTTTCTTTGGTCCTGTCAGGAACGGCGGCGGTCGCAGCGGGACGTTTTGTGCCATCAGCATCGTGAGTGAAATGCTGCGGCATCAGCGCTCGGTCGACGTGTTTCACGCCGTCAAAACCCTGCGGAACAACAAGCCCAACATGGTGGATCTGCTGGTACTGACTCACAGCTCACTTACCACTCAGTTATTACAGCTAACTACAACTAAACCATAACAAGAGAACCTTTCTGAAAGACTTTGGTACTTGATTTAAACAAACTTTAACTAAAATAATATGTGTGTCCCTGCAGCACAAAAGCAGTCTTAAGTCGCTGGGGTATATTTGTAGCAATAGCCAACAATACATTGTATGGGTCAAAATTATACATTTCTCTTTTATGCCAAAAATCATTATTAAGTAAATATATTCTGTAAATGTCCTACCGTAAATATATCAAAACATAATTTTTGATTAGTAATATGCATTGCTAAGAACTTCATTTGGACAACTTTAAAGATGATTTTCTCAATACTTGCACCCTCAGATTCCAGATTTTCAAATAGTTGTATCTCAGCCAAATATTGTCCTATCCTAACAAACCATACATCAATGGAAAGATTATTTATTCAGCTTTCAGATGATGCATAACTCTCAATTTCGAAAAATTGACCCTTATGACTGGTTTTGTGCTCCAGGGTCACATATATATAAATAAACTTATCTTTGCAAAACTAAAAATTATTTAAAAAAAATGTATAGACATTTTAAAAAAGAAAGAAAAAAAAAGACCAAAACACACAACAACATTAATCAAATTTTAACTAAATAACTTGATGTACAAAACTAAAACTAAAATAAAAATGTATAAAAACTATACAGACATATTTTAAAATGAAAGAAACAAAGAAAGAAAAAAATGATAAAAAAAGACACAACAAAATTATTAAATTATTAAAATTAAAACAGAATAAAAAAAGAACTCATTCAAAATATTAACAAAAGCTATAGAATCTCAATACTACTACCCTCTAACTCTAGCACTCTCTATTCTAATTCTATTCTTTAAAAAAAACTAACACTGGCTTCTCTAATCTTTTTGTATTCTATCTTTGTTTGCTTTTTATTTATTATACAATTAACAAAAGGAAAAAAGGCGTCTAACACTAGCTTGCTCTATTCTTTTTCTATTCTATCTGTTTTCTTTTTATTTATTATATAATTTTAAAAAACCTTGCTCTGTGTGCTGCATTAAGCTAACAGAGACTTGTTATAGCACTTGTGTATCATTCTATTGTCTTCATTTGTAAGTCGCTTTGGATAAAAGCATCTGCTAACTGACTAAATGTACTAAAATAACACTGATTCAGGATGTTCAGGGGAAAAAATCTACAGTTTTTTTCTAGTGCTTCCTAATTTTATTGTATGTGGTATAATCTAACGCGTGTCTTCTGTGTCTTTCTGCAGGATCAGTACAAGTTCTGCTATGAAGTGGCTTTAGAGTATCTGAACTCAGGCTAATGGACCGACGCTCCGTGTGTGAGTGTGTGTGTGTGTGTGTGTGTGTGTGTGTGTGAGTGTGT